TGCAACGGTGTGTAAAGTAATGCTAATGCAAAAACGAAAACGATTGCAATTTAAGCAGCCATTGATGTATTTCATTGCACCGAAGAACAATCGAGATACAATGCACTAAACGAAGTACAAATATTGAATATACAAAATTGTGCTAACCATACAAATTTATTTTGCTTGATTAACATGTAATATTATTACTAAATATATATCTCTATATATATATAACTGTTCGTCCTGACTGATTGGCTGACTGACTGACTGATTGGTGATCAACGCCCAGACCATACCGCGAAGTGTCCGATTTGCTTCAAACTTATTTTCAAGGCTCTACATAAGAACTTAATGAATACGTGTTTCAGCGATTTTGGGAAATTCCACCCACAACAGTGGTTAATTAGCGAAAAACGTTGGGATAAAACTTTTTTGTTAAGCATCGGATCGGCCTCAAGCCCATTTTTAAAGATCTTAGCTAAAATTCATTTGGGGTTGTTAATAAATAGCACAACATAGTCAAAAAAGCGTCCATTAAATAGTTAAAAATAAAAATAAACCAGTAAGAGGTTCTAGTCGGGAGCTCCTATAAAAAAAAAAGAATTAAAATCATTAAAATCCCATATTTCATTGCGCCGTGAACCTTTAAAAATTATCCTTTGCTTATCCTAATTTTTATACCCTGAGCCCATTAAAAATGAGTATAAGGGTATATTGTATATGTGCAAAATCCAAATGTATGTATCAGGCAGAAGGAAGCATCTCTGACCCCATAAAGTATATATATTCTTAATCAGCACCAATAGCCGAGTCGATCTAGCCATGTCCGTCTATCTGTCTGTCCGTCTGTCCGATGAATGCAAGGATCTCAGAACCTATAAGAGCTAAAGACTTGAAATTTTAGATGTAGGTGCTCCTAGTGCCTCGGCAGATTGAGTTTGTTTCCAATAATCAATAACTTACTCCTTTTCCAAGCAATCGATAAAAACCGATATCGATATCCTGTTTTGTGGGCAATTTTGAGAAATAATAAGAACTAGAGTCACGAAACTTGACATATAGCTTTTAAAATAGAATATATATATGTATTTGATGTTGGAAGAAGAGGGTTCAGGGTATCCCCTAGTCGGGAGCTCCCGACTAGAACCTCTTACTTGTTCTTCATTAATCAGGCACTTAAACATTACTTCTTAGAAATTTTCATAAAAGACTTGACTCAAGCAAGAAAAAAACTTGGTAGAAGACCTGTTTTTTATTTTTTTTTTTTTTTAAGTAAACATTTAGTTGACATTTCGATTCGTTGCCGCGACGCAGCTCGCAGAGTTGACAGATTTTTTACAAAACAATTTTATAATAGCATTGACATTTGCAGAAGTCAACCAAACGTGTTCTTTTCGCAGTTATCAAAAACGCAGCAGCTGTTGATCTTGACTTTGGCCCCTTAGTCAGTGAATTTGACAGTTGCTCAATTTCACACTAATTGGTTGAAATTGCAGCTGATAGTGAAATTTCCAATGTCACATGGTAAGCCGACTAAACTTGTGATTTATGTAGCCAAGTGTCGTAAAAAAACACAGACTGACGCGATTCAAGCAACCGGACAATAAACCGAAAAAATCATACACTCAACTAATATCAATAATAAAACGCGCCCACAGGAGCGGCTCTTATCAGACAATTTGATATTGACATTTTATAATTAATACTATGAGAAGAAGAAAAAACATAAGCAAGAACCTTTAAGCTGATAACGACTGACTAAGCACCTCCAAAAACACACTGCTAAACATTTTCAAATTATGTGTGCTCATTATGACGGTGCTGGGAACAAAGTTCACAGTACAGTGGAACCAGACAGATTCCCAATCTTATCATTAGCTGCTGAAGATCACCCGGTTCCGCAAGGTGAATCGTAAGTGAAGACAACGCGGATGCAAGGCTCAGCTATTTATAAGACCTCCAACCATCTGTATGTGAACCGGATTCGGGGTGCTCGACAGGCGCAGCATCTGTCAATTGATAAGCAGCTCTCTCAAGCTCTGACGCAACTGCTTCTAGATTTCGACAAATTTGTTTTTTCGTATAACTTTTTCAAGACTTTGCGATAAGCTATGCTCATGTTACTGGGTCAAAGAGCGCAGGGACAGACGTCAAAGATCAATCGACACTTATTCTTAAGATTGTCATTGAGGTAATTTGATTGCAATATTTATTTATGCATCGCTCGCAAATGTCACAGAGTTCACACGTTTATAATTTCAAATAAAACTAATCAGTGTTTTATTTTAAAATTTATTCATTGTCGCGATCTAATGCAACTAAACTGAATTTGGCCTAGATTATTATTGGAATTATTTTATTTATTGGTACTTAAACTGGATGCACAGTCTTTTAAAGTATAAGCAAAGAAATAGAAATAATGTTAGAAGTCTGTATTGAATGAAATGGACTATTTTCAATTTGAAAATTTTCTAGCAAGCAAATGTAATATATATTTTATCAATTATGAATAAAGATAATAATCACATTTATTTGCCACTTACTTTAATGCAATGCGCATCTGATCGGCGATGGCAATATCGAATGACATGTCGGTCTGTGTTACCGCACCACCACAAAACGTAGCACAATTTGATTCCTTGCTGCTGGGCAATTAGCTGCACAGCTACAGATATTAGCTATATGGACACAAAACACACGCACACCGACAACCAATAGAAAAAAAAACAATTCGCAAAAGTTGCCTGAAATCACAGTAAATGTCAACACGACAAGGCCAAATTGTTTCAAGTGGCAAGCATATAAAAAATTGTATTTAACACCCACGCGCCGTATGCGCAACGTGCCCTTTTCGCAGGCTTTTACTAGAAACGATTGATTTTTTTCTATATATTTTTGTTCGATATTCTTTTTAAGTTATACTTTGATTTTTAATTTTATTTCGGTTAAATTCTTGTTTATTTATTAAACACAACTCGTCGCACTTGTTGCCGCCAATTGAAGACGCGTTGCATACGCGCGGTTCTATTTAATTGAATGCGCTGCGTTTTATTTATTTTGATTAATTAAACGCCGGCTTTGGAGCCTCAGGCTTGAGTTGCGTTTTACTCAGGGGTTGCGCGTCAACTGAAGCATTTGAAGTAGGCGCCGGCTAGGTTTAGTGGTCGTCGAACGCTCGACGGTCGGCGTTCAGCGCTCGGACGTACGTACGTGCGGGCATATCAAGCATACACACACGGAGGTGCTCACACACACAAACACAGTTTTTACATGGGGCTTCCACTCATTTAGTCTTGCCGGAGAATGGCTGGCGTATGAGTGATATTCATATGATGCGTCTGTGTGCGTGTGTATACATGTGTGTGCACTGCCTTGTTTCGCACTCAAATGCCCATGGCATTGTCTGCTCGAGTGAGTACGCTTGCTTGGTGTGCTGGGCGCCGTTGTTTTGTTTAAACGTTATCGTTTTTGTTGTTGCCTTTGTTTATAGTTTATAGCATGTCCACTCACACGCACACATAGACACACCCAAGTACACAAAATAGTTTCCACTGCACTTGTCATTTTTTGTTCTTTGTTGCTGTTGGCTTTGTTTGCTGTGTGTTTGACTTTCGGTTTTGAAGTTATTTTATTTTGTGTGTGTATTTTTCTGCTGTGTGCAAATTACAGTTTTTTTTTTATTATTTTGTCACACAGGGCGTATGTGTAACATTTTGTTGTACATTGTTTTTTATGTATGGGGCCTGTGTTAATCAACAGTTTGTGACAAGTTTGGAGTTCAAATTGGTTTGCTGGCAAGTTTATACGCTTCAAGTTTTCTTGATTGAAATAACATGTTGAACAATATTATATTTAATATATTGATCATATTTATATTTGGAAGCAAAGTTTAGTTATGGCAAAGTTAGGTTGAACTTCATATTAAACTCAACTCAGTTGAAAAACTTTTAAAAAACTTGCATATATGAAAGCCGTTTGTCAGAAGTCTTCACCAACTGCTTATAGTATTGTCTCTACCAAAAATATGGTGGTCATCTCCAAGAATTAGGCATGCAGAAATAAATAGTTGTGCTTTCAATTACATTAAGTGTAACCTACCCAGTCCGCAATTTCCTTCCTCACTTTGCACTCAATTCAAAAGTGTTGCATGTTCTGCTTTTAATATTATCTTGGTCATATGATATGACATGTCATTTGTAATGGCAATTACAGTTATTAAAACGGTTAATTCAATTCAATTAGCTGAACATTGAGCGTCCATATATGCTTATATAATTGAGAGGGCGATACGAAATTCATCATGGAATATCTATATTAAATGAATATGTGTTTACAGGGCAATTCATTACAAATGCGTGGCAATAATATTGACGGAAAGGCAACCTATATTTTATATACGAACATCAATAGTTGCTATAAATTATATACATTCAATTAACTCCAATTGGTTAGAATTAAACATTATTGTCCCTAAATTATAAAGTTTGCCATATTGTTTCTATACAATTCCTGGTTTTGGGCTTGATAGATAAGCCTTATCATATTGCATATGTAATCTCTGATTAATGTCTTGTCAGTAAAGTTGTTAAGGTTAATAGTCGCTTATCAACATGTAGCCCTAGGAATAATATTTTTATAAATTATAAAAGCACCAAGAATCTAGAATGAAAGTTTATATAATAGAAATACAAACGATTTAAAACAGTTTACCCTAGCCCCAACTGGCTTTTCCACTTTTATTAATTTCAAAATTATTTCAAGCTCGAACGTGTTTATCCACTATCTATTTTTATATAAGCACATCATTTCATATGTAGTTATACTTGTTTGAACAGTCTATTATTACTCGTTCATGAACAATTATTTCTAATACGAAATTTGCAGGCTTGATATAATTCATTTTCAAGGACAAACCCTTTTGCGCACTAAGTGCTTGTTAAGATAGTTAATTCTAGACAGATTGATAGATCTTATAGAAAAATGTAGAGTTAAAACAAAAATTACAACAAAAAGAAAAGCTTACAATTGCCTGCGACATATTGTATTTAAAATATATCTTTAAGTTGTGCTGATTTCTTTAACAATTGAGAATTAAGCTAGATTTGATACAGTTTAGTCTGGAGTTAAACTGCCAGGAGCAGAGCACAGAGCACTCGACAAAGTGTTGGCTAATCGCATGATGAAAAATGACCAAAGGAAGTCAATTGCCAGTACTTGAATCATCTACCCGATCATCTCTCCTAATAGGCTCTAAAGGAATAGATAATTATAATAATAGAAAAACTAATTTTATTATATATACCATTTTCAGCATTCCATTGATGTGTCTATATCTTAACTAATGCTCCCCATGAAATTTTAGTAGCTTTTCAATTAATTAACAAAGCCATACAAATCCACATTTCTCAGGGCCAAACTAACCACAGAGTGTGACATTAAATTCAGGTAACTCCCCATTGTAAATTCTGTGCCAAACGGCACAGCTCGGCAATTGTCAGAGTTATTGCAGTCTGCTAACTGTAAATTATTCAATAGCCAGGCTGGCAGGCTTTTGGCCTATAAATAACTGGACAGATGGAGCACATGCTAGCACAGGTTAAGCATTTGCATCGTAAGATTAGTTGAGGTAGCCAAAGGTAGTAGTTCAGTTCGTATTTATAGGATTATGTGTAAGCAGCTACTAAATTTAATTGAATTTCCAACAAAAGACAGCAATAAATAGTTTGAAGACCATGTATATAGAATTTTGTACAGATAAGGTTCTTCCAGTTGTAGCCAAATTCTGGCGAGTTTATTTTTTTTTATTCCTATTTACTGGGGACGCTTTTCGGCATTCTTTTTGGTAAACTCCTCCGCGGACTTCATAAACTTTTTGTGCTCTTTGACAAATTCCTCGGCCAAATCAGAGCGCAATGGATGCTCCGGCTGGGGGTTATGCACAATGTCAATGAGAGCCTGGAACACCTGCTCAGTGCGCGTTGTGGGCTTCCAGTTGTCGACTGTTATAATTGACAGGCACACCTGACCCTTCTCATCGACATTGGGATGATAGATTTGGGTCTTAAAGAGTATCTTCGGGGGCATAAAGGGATACTGTGCTGGGAAGCTAACCTCAATGCGAAAGGCGCCCTTATTGTAGGGCGCCTTCTCTGGCACCAACAGCCCCGTCCACAGCAGCAAGGACTCATCCGATGCTTCGATATTGCGCAGGACTTTCGACTTGGCAGCCAGAATATCGCTTAGTTCGCGACTTAAACGACGTAAGGCGGACATAGTCTGATTTTTTTTATATTTTTTTTTTGTTTTTTTTTTTTATGGCAGCTGTTAAATTTCTAAATACAAATAATTTTGGGCAGTTGCTGAGTGAGTTTTACTAGCCTGTTATGTCTATGTATGCACACATATATATACAGAAATATTTCCCTTTAATTATAATAACAATCCCGCAATTGTTTTACATTTTTTAAATTCATATCAACATAGCTTGACTAATGCACAAATACACATACCAACAACTTCTTTTCTTCTCAAAACAACAGCTCCCTGTTATCATCGAAGAGACTCTCCCAGATCTTTACTTTGGACCACTCGGGCAACTCCTCGAATTTAAGCTCATCGCTAATATTGAGACATTTTATGCTCTCGTCGCTTTTGCGTACTGGATCCCATGTAATCATATCCATGCCGTTGATCTCCGAGCTATAGGGATTACCACTTCTCGCAAACTGCGTCCAAATGCCCACCGTGCGCACAATGTTGCGGTACTCGCGACTATCCTTGGGCATGCGGCGAGCCAGGATACTGGTGAACTGATAGGTCAAATCATCCGCATGACTGACGCCCTTCACGCCACGCCCAAAACGCATGATCCGATAGGGGAATATAAGCTCCTCCGAGTCAAAATCGTAGCGATAGAAGTAAACGGGTGAGCCAGCAGCGTGAGCATGTCGAGAGCGCACCACGCGCAGAGCAGGAAAGATAAAGTAAACCATGGAACACAACTACAAGCAAGGGAATAGGAGATATAGTATAAGATAAGCTGACATACTTCAGCTCTATAACTAGACCTAAGATAAATTATTCTTAATTAAAGTAATTTTCAATTTTAATGGGATGTGATAGAAGTGAAAAACCTTTTATATAATTTGATGTTGGGGATCTGTCAGTCACTTAGCCCATCAATAAGTCAATTTATCTTTTAATCTTTTGAAAAGCCAGACAGTCAACATGCTAGTCAGTCGTCAGTCAATCAGTCAATCAGCCGGCCAGGTATTCAGTTATTTAATTAGATCCTTACTCTGGCAAGCAATTAGTCAACCAATTAGTCAGCCAATCGGTCAGTTTAATATTCAGTCAGCCAATAAATCAATCAGTCAATTATTTAATTAGTTAGCCAATCAATCAGTCAATCAATCGTTCAGTTTAGCAGTTAATTAATTGACTGATGGTCAGTCAATCAATCTGTCAATCTTTCAGCAAGATAACCACTTAATTTGTTGATCAGTCAGTCAAATAATTCGTCAACCTATCAGTCTGTGCATCGGTCATCTATTGATCTGTCTTTCTAATAAACAAACAGTCAGGCAAGCTATCAGTCAGTCAGTCAATCAATTAGTTAGCCAATCAGTCACTCAATCAATCTTCTAATCTGTCAGTAAATTAATAAGCTAATCTAATTTCAAGTCAGTACAATTGTCAATCTCGTCAATTTAATAATCATTCAAATACTGTGTCAGTCAGTCAGTCAATCAATTTTTCAGCCTCTCAATGACTAAGCCAGTTTATCTGGCACTCAAGATAACACTTCAAAAATTGTTGATTATAACCAGTTTGCCTGAAGGTCAATCAAAAAATGAGTTGGTTAATCTATCAGTATTTCGGACAATCTTCCAGTCATTTCGCCAGTCAATCAGTCATCAATTAAGTCTGATCTGCAATTATAACTTTGTTACTGCAACTTACATCCATGTAGTTATCTGGTGTGGCCTTCTTGCCAGTTACATGGGCACTGCGTATCTTTAGAGCCCAATTGCTAATCTTCTCGCTGTCGAGCTCTGCTAGCTCACGTGGCACGAAAGGTGTGCCTTCATCCAGTTGCTGCACCACCTGTGGCATCATTTTTAGCTCTGCAAAGGCACACCGTAAGCTTGTGTTCTTTTGAGGATAGCTGAGACTGCACTAACCTGGCACCCAGAGCAGCCCCTCAAAGGAGGTGTTGCCTATCATCATGGGTATCGAGTTGCTCCAAGCGTTTTTCATCATTTCACGTGGATGCTTGGGCAGCACACACTCAGGCGTCGTATATGGCTCCAAAGCAGGTCCAAAGGGGAACATCACCTTTTTGGCATGCTCCTCCGGCGTCAGTACATGCTCCTCCACGCGTATCAGATCCCTGGCTGGGGCTGTTTGCAGAAATTGCAGCACATCCTTCTCATTGTTCTCGCCCTTGTAGCCGGCCAGCTTGGCAATGGTGAAGGCGCGATGCGTGATGTCCCCATTAAAGGCCCAGGGTGCTATAGCGCTGCCCGACTGCAGGATGCCGCGATGAAAGAGGCCTTGCGTCTGCTCGGTGAGCATCATGTAGTGCGTGGAGGCAGCCCCGGCGCTTTCGCCGAAGACCGTTATGCAATCCGGATCGCCGCCAAAGCTGACACAGTTGTTCTTAATCCATTTAAGTGCCAACACCTGATCCTTAAGACCCGCATTACCGGGCACATTCAGGTCGGGTGTCTTCAGGCTGAGAAAACCTACGGGCAGAGAATATGATTAGTTGGGAACATGAGCTCTTGCTTACAACTTACCCAGGGCACCCAAGCGATATTGTATGGTAACCAGAACGACATCTTCCTTAATAAAATAGTCCGGGCCGTACCACTCGCGATTGGCCTCACCCAAGACGAAGCCACCGCCATGTATCCAGACCAGAACAGGACGTGCTTTGGAAGGACTTAGCTGTGCATGCAGCAAAATTATGTTGATTATTAAATTATGTTTGATTCGGATTAAAGATCGATTAGGATTACAATATATAATAATAACTTACATTATTCGTATAGACGTTTAGATAGAGGCAGTCCTCGGCGCCTTCCACCTTGTCGTAGATGAAATTCACCTGCACCGCCTTCTCTTTGGGATGCGTACAGTCCCTAACGCCCTCCCAGGGTGTGGGTCGTTGCGGCGCACGAAAGCGCAGCTCACCAACTGGTGGCTGGGCATAGGGAATGCCTTCAAAGCTAAAGTAGGGCACATCGTAGATGGATAAACGCTTAACGCCCCGCACTTTGCCATATTCGGTGTCGGCTAAAACCGATTCGTTTGTGGTTTGGCGATATTGTTGGATTTTATGCTCGATGGTTCTGTAGAATGTGAAAATTAATATAATAATACAAGTCAAAGCATGTATACATATACATATTAACTTAGTTAATATAACATTTGTGTCGTCTGTTGCGTGCATGATGCCCTGCAAACATGTTGAGGCAAAATGGGGTACACTCAACTTGACTATGTTATATGTTATATTTTATATGCAGACTTCCGCGTGTGATTTGAGATTTTCCTGTTTATACCTGAATATGGACTGTAACATTTCATAAATGCAGATTAACTTTTCCTCGGTTTTCAAGCTGGCTATTGGGTTGTTAAGTGGCCTCTTTAAATATTATTTAGGGAAAAATGGGGAGCACTCAACTTGACTATTAATAACTATAATATATGCAGACCATCCGCATCTGATCTGAGACTTTTCTATGCAATTTAATTTAATATTAGCTTCTATTTTTATTTATGAATTCTTTCTCCCCATCTCACCATCAAGTAGGCTGCAGGGCAACTACCAGTCGAGCCCGCATTCTTACATGTTTCAATTAACATTAAATTAAAATTATTTTGTTGATGCGGCTGCTGTGGCTACTATTGCTGCTATTTACCATATCGTCAGCTCATCAACTAGACAACCTTATCTTTTGAAGCTAAATGGAGCATTGGCATGCATTGGGGGCCTTTATGTACCACATCCCGTTAACTGGGCACGTCCACCAGTGATAAATGAACACCGGCTGACAAACAGGCCAGGTCACGCTGCAGTGCACTCAACTGGCAGTGGACGAACACTGGGCGTTCTGCCTGCCCTCACTTAGAGTAGCTCTCAAGTCCGAGCACACACTTCATGTTGAACTTTGTGTCGTCGAGTAGCTCTCAGTTATCAGCGGGACACAAAACGCATATATAGAGATAAAGCAGCAGCATCTACTTACTATAGAGTGCCAAGATTATTTATATAATGATTGCTAAAGTAATAGCACTTATCACTCGGGCTGTGTTTTCTAAAGCAAGCCCCAGCCAAATATAATAATACTCATAAACATATGGAAACTTATATTTGAATGTATTGTATTGCTTGTATATTTTAATATATATATATTGAGGGATGTACCAAACAGAGAGGCTTTTGTTATTAGTAAATGCGCTTTCAATAGGCACTGTATGTGTTGATTTAGACTAAATCAGTTCTGAATATATACCACATGTCTATCAATGCGTTACACATTTTGTATTGAATTACTCTCTGGTTATATTACTTAGAAATAGTTCTATCAATGTCACCATGTCGTCGAACAGCTCTGATTATACTCTACATATTTTTGTATAAGAGAGTGAATAACATTTTATAATCTATTTTGATTGTGAGAGGCAACTTGAAAGGTATTCAACACTCGGCACATAGATCGCGTTTTAAACTTTACCCTTGCATAAATGCATTTTCTCAATAATAATTATATTTGATTGCATTTAATAAACAAATAAAATTTCCAACGTTTATTTTATTAAAAACGTGTTAAAAAAGTGCATTTAACAATGGAAGATATAAGCAAAAATTGTCGGAAAACTTAAACGTGCGAATTAACTCTCATATATTTATACTGTATAATATAAATGTGATAATGGGCTCGTTGGGTGCATGTCAGGCATGAATGTGTCTAAGGCGCGGGCGGTATGCCCAATAATATCATATTCAGTGCGCATATCGGGCCATTTCCCATTGAAACTCAACGCCTTTGGCATACTTAGAAAATACTTCTATTAATACTATATAGTACACAATTGCATTTATCTGTTTTTGTTAGAGTCGTATAAAAAGAATGCTGTGAGTAGTTGACTTTGGCACATATAATAAAAAAATATATATCTAAAATCAACAGACCCGAACATAAAATTTGAATGTGTAAACAAAATGTTTTTATGCACATATCTTCGATTATGGCGAACTATGCTTTAATGAAAGGTCGTAAATACAAAATATGTTACTCATTAAACTGATTAAGCGATAAATAGTCGAACGTATTAAGCGATTGAGGGATATAAATTAAGGGATTATGTGACATTTTTATAGTTAACATAAAAACTTTATTGTGTGTGGGTGTGCATTTTATCTGTGTGACTAAAGCGCTAACTTTTTGTGAAATATGATATCTCAAGTTTATGTTAACGGAACAAGTCATAGTTGATTTATTAAATAGCTATTAATTACTATTCAACTGCAATTTGTGGCAAAAAGTTGTACGATAAAAATTTATTTGTTTCATATTACAAAAAAAAATCCAAAAAAAATGCATTGTTATCTATGTTTATTTCATAGCATTCGCAAGTCATTTCCAGGTAAAGCTCATTAAGATGATATAAAGTCTATCTGCATAATACTTAGGTGCTGATATATTTTTATGAATACCATAGAACTATAAGAAAAGAGGTAGATATTTAGATTTTAGCTTTTGAAATTAAAGTTTTGACATTTTTCAAAATACTGCTTTAAAATGATTCTGCAGTTTTAGTATTTGTTACTCTGATCGATTAATTTATTAAACACCTTAATACGAGCTTCAGTTAAAAATCATGCACAAAATATTTATATATTCAAACATACATAGATTCCTTAAAATTGCAGCTTAATTTTTTGCTATATAGTATATCTATTATTTATTCATGCACAGTATGTTTGCATTTGCATGAAGAAACAAAGCTAGAATTTATTTTGTACCTAAATTTTACTTATTAATGTTCAAGTGAACCTGCTTAATCAGCACTTTACTCAAGTGTTTGTATCTGCTATGTATTTATTGGTAATCAAGGTGTTGGCATCATATTGCACAAAAATAACTTATCACATATTTTTATTAGCTTACAGAATGAGTCAGAAAGATAAGTCATGCGTCTTAATGAATATGAATATGAAGACAGCCGAATAATAGAGATTGACACATGATCTATTCAACGATATAAGCAATAATGAAATAAATGAACATGGATTAATTGTGGGTCAGAGGCGCACTCACTTCAAACGCCAGCGTAAGCGCTCCACAAAGCCGATATTTTTGTTCATTTTTAGAATAGACAATCAACCGAACTATATACGTTATAGAAGAAGTAACAATATTAAGTTAATTTTGTATTTCCACCGATCGCGTGGACTGTAACGGGCCAGCGCTAAACTGAAACTGAAATTAAAACTTTTTTATTCCATATTCAGTTCAGTTGTCGACGCTTCAGGCGTACAAAACAAGCGAAACGTGGGTGGCGGGCTGAGGGGCGAGGCAAATAAACATATATGTATATAAGTATATGCTATATAGAATAAACCAAATATCAGAATAAAAACTAAGCAAAACAAATAGAAAACACAACACAAAAAAAAAGGCGGCACAAAAAAAATATCAAAATACAACTACAAATTTGTATTTCAAGTGCGCGGACCGGCACAGATACAGATACGCAACTGTTGGATCGTGGGCGGGTGAGTGGGGCGCCCGCAGCCTATGGCTGTGGCTACTTGTAGACGCGCCTAAAGCGACTGCATAATTAATCAATTGAATTGCCAATAGCTACACAACACGAGCTGCACCAAACCACAGACAGTTTTTAGCAACAAGTCAACCAAATGCGAATTCAAATATCTTTTAACTGCTTAGCTGAGGTAAGGCAAATTCCGGCTGACTTATTAGTGGGGAGGGAGGTTCCGCGTCCAACTCCCCGGCACTCTTGATCGCGCCGACAGTGTAAACAAACAACAAGAATTATTGTTGCCGGCGCGTTGTTAACAACACGCTTTGCATTTCATGGGGCATCGCTACAAAAAGCTTAGCCGAAAGAGCTTAAAGCACAAAGCACAGAGTACAGTGGAGGATCGAAATATTAGTTCGGCTCCAACTTAACACTGCTAGTAGTGCCTTGCATTTTTATTAATATTTTGTATATTAATGTATTAGGTATATCAAGTATGTTATTGTTTTTAATCGATTTTCTGATTACCTAATGACAGCCACATTTGCAATTAAAATATTCTGATTTACAGCAGGGTAAAATGTTAAACAATGTAACAATGTAGTAATGTCATCTGGTTAACAGCTGCGCTCTCTAACAGGCCTTTTATATTTTACAACGACCATTTCAGTAACATTGCAAGTCTATTTAACAGTCTAAAAGCAGTCCAATGCCTCGAGATCTTTTGCTGTTAACTGAATCGCAATGTTACTAGTTATATTAACCTAGTAGTTCTGAACTTAAAAATAAGTTTTTATATTCTCTGTTCCGTCCATTCTGACCATTCCCAGATATGAGCAGGGGCATAGCTTGCCGGACTGGCTATAAATTTCCCCCCACCGTAACGGCGATTTCCCACTACTATCTCTGTATCCTATCTACCTAACACTCTAGATATCTAGTTCAAATTCCTTTATTTCATAATAACTTCTTTCTTTCTTTTTGCCTGTTTAATTTATTTTCTAAACGATTATTTTTAAATTTAACTAAAGAACACTATTTTCTCTAATATCACCCTTCTTCTTGCTGTAGGCTCTAATAGCTTCACTGACAAAATTAGCTGTGAAAAGGGGCACAGCTGGCCGGACTGGCAAATAAAACACCTTCATCGATCGGTGATGTTATTTGAAAATTGTGTACTCTAACTAGGCTTTTAGCATTACATTTTCATATTATATGTATATTGTATTGAATAATTAGGAAGACACTCGTTTTGTCGACCGTGTATAAAAGTAAAATAAAATAAAATATAAAAACCATTTAAATTTATTAAAATGACCTATGAAATTTAAAGTGAGCTCAAAGCAATTGTCATCCACCATAAAGAAGATGTTTGTCATTATCGTAGATACTATTCCATACTTTAATACCGGCCCTTTCACACTGAGGCTGAAACTCTACTTTGTGCCCAATATTCATTACATCAAATGGATTTTCTCTATCCACAGGCCTCCAGTTTTCCGTCTCGGTTTCTACACAGTTTGGATCTCCCGTGCGTGCGAATGATGTCAGAATACCCACCATTCGGTGTATAGTCAAACTCTCCGCTTCATTCAAGGGCTTCTTCCGAACGCTCTCCCTGGGAAACATGTAACCCAATTCATCGGCATGGCAAACCCCACGCCTTATGTCATTCCCGCATAGTTTGATCCGCATCAAATTGTAGTGAGGCGAATCAAAGTCAAACCGGTAGAGATAGGTGGGCGCCTGAGCAAAGGCGAGTCTGGAGAGCACGACACGATGTATGCAATGCCAGAAGAGTTTATAACTGAAAAGCTGAAACAAAGGACATTTTAACTGAAGCAGAGCATTAAATATTGGCATTGTCTTGACTTACGTCCAGAATTTGCATAATATTGTTCACATTGATGTCCCCACGTCCAAAATGGAAGTTTATCAGTTCCATAGCGCGATCATTCAGGTCTTTCATTGTATGCCTGCGGTACACATCATAGGGCAGCACCAGCGCTGGCTCCTGCTTGAGCAGCTGCAGCATGAAACAATTGTTGATCTTGCAGTGGGGATACATGACCAGACCCTCGAAAGAGGTGCCACCCATTAGCAATGGCACCTCCTTAGACCAAGCGTCTCGCATCATCTGCAGAAAGGGGCGTTTTAGCAAGCCTTCAACACCCGATTGGTACTCCAGCGTAGGCACAAAGGGATACAAGTGCCCAAAAATATATTCCCGTGGACCGAAAAGTTCGTGCTGTACCAGCTCCTCAGCGGGGAGCGAGCGTAGGAACTCTAAAATTGGCGACTCCAACATGACGCCCCTGTAACCCTTGATGTTGGCCAGACGGCAAAACAAGGAGTCCGTATTCGGCACCTGAACCCAGGGACATGTCATGGCCCCGGACATTATGATGGCCCGCTGAAACAGACCACATGCCTCCGGCAGGCACATCATAAAGTGCACAGAGGCGGCACCCGCACTGGTGCCCATTAAGGTTACATTCTTTGGATCTCCATTAAAGTGCGAGATATACTTCTGGGTCCAACGCAGCGCCAGAAGCTGATCATGCAGGCCAGCATTGCCCGGTACGCCCAGATCGGGGCAGCTTAGAAGTAGGAAACCCAAGGCGCACAGCCGATAACTGAACTGCACATAGACAATGTCCTCGCGCATCAGAAAGTCTGGGCCATACTTAACCCTTGTGGCGCCGCCTGTTTTAAAGCCGCCACCATGAATATAGACTATGACCGGTAGCGGCGATTTTGCCGTATCGAACTGAATTCAAGCTGCGATTAAATTCAATTGCAATTGATTCCCATCCAAACACTCACATGTTTGGTATACACGTTCAAGTAGAGACAATCCTCAGCGCCTATCGTGCAGCCAGAAGAGTTTTCCGACTGTACGGGACGCGAACGCTCCTCCAGACAGTCCAAGACCTTGCCACACCAGGGATCCGCCGGCTGCGGCGCGCAAAAGCGCAGCTTCCCAATAGGCGGATTGCCAAAGGGTATGCCCTCAAAACTATAGTATTCATGGCCACATATGCCAACCTGAAATTTGCCCTTCACCTTGCCCACGGGCAGGTCCACGATCTTTGTCTCGATTCTGGCTCTCTGGGAGAAGTTCGACTTGCTGGCCACCAAATGCAGAACTTTAAAATTGCTCTGTCTACTAAATTTAAACATGTCATTGCCGAATATAAAATAAGTTTAGCTAAGCCAAAGCCCACTTGTTTGCACTGCTCGTACTAAATTCTATTCCAAAAGGAGACCAGTTTCTATTATTTCAAGCCAGAGCCCAAATTCCCTTATACTTACATGCATCATTCAAACACAAATAGCTAACCAAAGATGGTTTCCCTAATGGCTAACCATTTATTTTAACCCTTCTCAACCATTTGTATATCTTTTACTATTTAACTAAAAATGCATTCTGGAACTTAATCATCTGCTCACATCTGCGAATTTCATCCACCAAAGAGTAAGCTATTGTGATTATCGTATAGCTTATCCCACATCAACAATACTTCCTTTTCAGACTGAGTGCCGAATTTCAGCTTCTGGTCAATTAACATGGCCTGGAACGGATCCTCATTCCTCAAAGGCTTCCATAATACACTTTTTGTTTCTTCACAATTTGGATTTCCGGTGCGAGCAAATGTCGTCAGGATACCAACCATTCGCTGTGTGATAAGATTCTCATCCTCACTCATACGAGGCGTACGATTCTTTAGTGGAAATAAATAGGCCATGTCTTCGGCATGACAAACGCCGCACGTAATATCCTTACCGGTGAAATAAGGGCGCACAATGGGCGTGGGCGAATCATAGCTGAACCGGTATAGAAACGTGGGCGCCTTGGCATGAGCGAGTCGGGAGAGAACCACGCGATGAATGCCATGCCAAAAGAGCTTATAGCTGAAGAACTGGAAAATAAAGATGAATCAACCAATCACTTGGCTTCAAGGCAAGAGTAAGCTCTACTCACATCTAGGAGCTGGATTACACTATTTTTATCTATGGGCCTATGTCCAAAATGAAAGCGCATGAGCTCTTCTGCGGCCTCTTCACGCTCAGTCTTAGATAGTTTCGTATGGATTTCATAGGGTAGCGCCAGCGCCGGATTTTTCTTGAGCATTTTCAGCATCTTACCCTTGCTATTCCTGTATTTGGGATACATGAATAGACCTTCGAACGAGGTGCCGCCTATCAGCAGTGGCACATCCACGGACCAAGCTGTGCGATACATCTCTACAACGGAGCCCTTAATCAGAGCATCTTTGCCGCCGTCATTTGCGGATGGGGCCTGAACCAGTGGCGCAAATGGATACAGATGACCAAAGAGATAGTCGCAGTCGCCAAAGTGATTCAGACGCACTACCTCCTTGGCGGGCAGACAGCGCAGGAATTTCAGTATTTCCGTTGCCTTGACGTCACCCCTGTAGCCCTTTTCCCATGCCAGCCGGCAGAATAGGTCATCTGCATAAGGTACAATAGCCCAGGGGCAGGTCATTGTGCCGGACATCATGACGGCCCGATGGAAAAGGCCAGACGCCTGTGGCGCACACATCATAAAGTCCACCATGGCGCCACCCGAACTAGTGCCCATAATGGTTACATTATCTGGATCCCCATTGAAGTACGAGATGTATTTCTGCACCCAACGCATTGCGGTCAGATGGTCGTGCAGGCCGGCATTTCCAGACACGCCCAGCTCTGGGCAGTTGATCCTGAGGAAACCCAGCGCACTGAGCCGATAATTAAACATAACATATACGATATCCTCACGCATAAGATACTGAGGACCGAATTTCTCGGTTATGGCGCCGCCCGTGCAGAATCCACCAGGGGTAAAGTTCACGATTACTGGCAATTTCTTCTCTGACTCGTCGAACTAAAAATACAAATTCCCTCTAAATGCACATCACAATGGAACCTGAGAGTTACTAACATGCTTGGTATACACATTTATATACAGACAATCCTCGCTGCCGGTGATTTGGTTTGAAGATATTCCCATTTGCGTGGGTACAGAGCGATCCTTAGTGCAATCTAGAACCATATTACCCCATGGCTCTGCCGGTTGCGTTGGACTAAATCGCAAGTCCCTGATCGGAGGCTTACCATAGGGTATACCTCTAAAGCTATAAAAGTCGTTGCCACAGTGACCCTCCTCATGGGTGCCCCTTACCTTGCCCATGGGCAACTCTACAGTTCTTACGGCTGCGCATTTGGAGTAGTTTAGTATTAAAGTTTTTACCAGATTATTAGAGCTGTGGCCACGACTTTGTAAGCTTAATTTTAACATATTATAATTTTGATATTTGTGTTCTGAAACTGAACATATTTTTGATTAAAAATGAATTGGCTACCCTCGAAACAGTCAGATCTTCCAGGTTCAAGTTACAATAAACGGCGCATATAAATTTATACAAATAAAATTACTTTCTCGAAGGCTGCACAAGAAAGTTCCCAGTTCGAATCCCTGATTTCAACTGGAACAAGTGTCACGCAGCTGAGAATCCTCAAAATTGAATTGTATTCATAAGGCGAATGAATATTTACAAGCTTACCTGAGTTCATTAATTGCAATCAAAATGGTATATCGTATGTTTCTTGAAAAGTAAAGAATTGTTTATTGGCACTGACGTATTTATTTATTAATTTTTTGCTTTATAAGCAAATCAAAACAGAGAAAAACATCCTTTAGTACTTATAAGTTAATAAAATTGAATTACATAAATAAACTAAAATAAATAAAATAAAATAAATAAAATATATAAAATAAAATAAATTGTTAAATGATCTATATTTAATGCCAATACTTTAACAGCACTCTGTTAAGCAGAAAGTCTACTGATACTTACAAAACTGTCAAGCCAATATAACAGCTAAATTTAAAACCTAGCTTTAACTACAGTAAACTGATTTCATGGCTGGAAAGAACGCAATTAGTCAGTGATGCAAGTATGCCCTTTTGCTTAGGTAGATAAAATAATATTAAATAGTGTTAATTGTGATCTTACAACCTGAGCACACATAAAAATTCACTTATATTTTTATTTTTCAACCAGGTATTGCGACCCATTAAACGTTAACAACACGAACAGCTGTCGACAAATTGTTGTAGCAGCGCTCTCTGTACTGCCCGGTACAACGGGCATTATCAATAAAGTTTTCATGCTCCCATTGCCATATGTTTTTCAATAAGAGCAACAACAGCGTCGTCTATCGAGATAAGCGGTCGCTTTTGTCGTTCGTGATTAAAACATCAACTGGGAGACTCCGGCCGCTTCGAAGATTGTAATAACTGCATACAGTGAACACTGGCTAAGGCAACATTTTCAATTAATATAAAAACGTCATGAATGATAACAGCAAATATTTCAGGAAATAATTAAAAGATCATATATTTTATTCTAACTCTAACCAGAATCCTCTCCTGCATATAAAATGAAAGCATCATGTGTCAAAAATTTATGAAAATTTATACTGTCAAGCATTTTCTGGTCCATTTCTTCACAACTAAATTACCAAGTTGCCGTTAGCGAGTTACCACTGTGTATGAAAATTGGGTGCGCGTACGAGCATTCGTAGACAGCCCTATTCTAGTTGAACGTTCAGTTGAAGCTTGTCAATTGCTAGGGACGGAAGTAAAAGCAACGCCAGTCACAGAAATTGGTTCGCGTAAAACCCACAAGGACGTAATACCCATCCGACATGAATGTGCAAATGGGTGTTGCGGATCTGCTAAAGCTGGGCACCAAGTAGGTGACATGAGTCTTCCCATTGAATCGCTGTCAATGGCATCGTAAATGCCAACAGCCAGCAAAAGCTCAGCGATAAGATAAGATCAACTTGTTTAGCAGGCCAATAATATAAATTTCGATTGCTCTACTCTAATTCAATGGCAGGCTCATCGGCCACAAGATCGTCCAGTACACTCTGGCCACAAAGGTCACGGCGGTGCTCGAAACCCAGTATGGTCGGGTGCGCGGCCTTCAGCGTAAGACCCTCTACGAACAGGAGCTCTATTTTGCCTTCGAGGGCATACCCTATGCCAAGCCGCCGTTGGGTGAGCTTCGTTTCCGCGCGCCACAGCCCCCAGAACCCTGGAAGGGCGTCAGAGATTGCACGTATGGACGCGAGAAGCCCGTGCAACAGCATTTTCTGATGCATGTAGTCGAGGGTTCCGAGGATTGCCTTTACCTAAATGTGTACGCAAAGAAACTTAAGTCGGAAAAGCCCCTGCCCGTCATGGTGTGGATCTATGGTGGGGGTTTTCAGATTGGCGAGGCCACAAGGGATGTTCACAGTCCAGATTACTTTATGCAAAAGGATGTTATTCTAGTTACCCTTAACTACAGGCTAGGAGCTTTTGGTGAGTGCTTTAATCTTGGGCTGAGTTTGGAGAGTGTGGTAAAATCTCGGAATTCTGTGAAATTTTCTCTCACTCTCTCAACGAAAACAAGTTTTATTATAAGTGGTTTATTGTATATGTATATGTGGAGCACTCAATAGCGTGTAGACAATCTAAATTACATGCTGTGATTGACGATATGGGACGTATAACCAACCTGTATTGCGATAAAGAGTAGTGTTATTAATTTTGTATTATTATTATTATTGCGGCAAATGGAAAATGTATCCCAGATTTTCTTTACTTATATGGTTATACAAAAGTTTGATTTGTGGCAACTACACAATATTTTGCTAACCAACATGTAAAAGCAATGTAAAGGTTAATGCTGTTAACTTAACAGAATGCCTTAAAGATCCGCCAATCCAAAATACTTTTACAACCAAAACTCAAATGACAAAAAGGGAATAGTAATTGAATAATTAATATATTATATTTTGCGAATGTAATTAATGTAATAATGCATGCCCTTGTCACAGGTTTTCTTAGCCTCTCCGACCGGGACTTGGATGTACCTGGCAATGCTGGACTCAAGGATCAGGTAATGGCCCTGCGTTGGATACACAACAACATCGCTAACTTCAACGGGGATCCAAACAACATTACACTAATGGGCATAAGTGCGGGCGCTGCTTCCACCCAGATAATGATGTGCACAGAACAGACACGAGGTCTCTTCCACAAGGCAATCCTCATGTCGGGCTCATCACTCTGTGGCTGGGCCCGTGAGCCCCAGAACAATTGGTCCCATCGGCTTGCATGCCAGCTGGGCTATGCGGGCAGCGACAATGAGAAGGAAGTCTTTCGATTTCTACAGAGCGCCTCGGCTAGAGAAATTGCCAGCTATACAACGCTGCAAAACCAGGAGGAGTTACGTGATTATATACTGTTTCCATTTGGACCCGTCATAGAACCTTATGTGAGCGCCAACTGTGTGATCTTCAGGCCACCTGAGGAGATGCTTTCCCAGGCCTGGGGCAATAAGCTGCCCATAATCATTGGTGGCACCTCCTTCGAGGGCCTCTTCTCCTACCAGTTCGTAATGCAGGATGCGGAGCATCTACTTAGCGCTTTTGAAGCCTTAATACCCAGAGAGGTGCGTGGTGTGTCCACGCCAGCGGAGCTTAAGGAACACATCAAACAACTCAAGATGTCATCCTTCGAGGATCCCACAAGAGGCCGCATGGAGTTCAAGGAGTGCCTGCAATTGCTTTCCTTGAAGCACTTTTGGCATGGTATCCATCGAACTGTACTCGCCAGGCTGGCCTATGCGCCGACCAAGCCCACCTATCTTTATCGCTTCGACTTCGACTCGCCCACCTTCAATCACTATCGCATTATGGTGTGCGGCCGCCATGAAAGAGGCGTTTCCCATGCGGATGACCTCTTCTATTTATTCTACTGCATCCCAGCCTACAAGCTGGACAAGTTTTCGCCGGAATACCTCACTATCGAACGTCTGATTGGCATGTGGACAGCATTCGCGACACACAGTGATCCCAACCGCGCCCAGGTGTTGCCTGTCACCTGGGAGGCCGTGGACTCGAACGCTACTACAAAGTGCCTAAACATTGGACGACAACTCCAGTTCATAGAATTGCCGGAAATCAAGCAGTTGAAACTGTGGGATAGCTTCTATAAGAAACTGAAATTGTATTAGGTCAGTGTAAGGTCGACAGGATATTGTATAATATTTGGGTCATCACATCAAAGATTTAAGAGGTTTGAGATATCGTTCGTTAAATAAATATATATATATATATTTATATATATATACATATATATATATATATATGCAAATATATATAGTCTAGTAAATTGTACAACAAGATAAGGACGCATGTCGTAATACTTTTTTACGGAAAAAGGAAAACATCAAAAGGTTGACCAAAATTAAAAATATTTTTTAAGGTAATTATTTATTTATTCTGTTTTACAATCATTTTATAATTTATTATTATTGTGTACTGCAAAATAAAAGACAATGCCTTTTATTATCAATCTACTTACGCAAATTCGTGTCACGTTAATTGCCGTCACAACACCCATCTCAAACTTTGTTGAGAGTCGAATCCATGACTTTATTTATTGCTGTATGCTCCTGACTGTCTGAATGGTGTGCAACGCACAGCCCACACCGTTAGAGCTGGGAAGCGGAAATTTTCACTGTAGTTGCCTTATGTGATAAACGTGAATGTTAGGGCGGGGTTTCGGGAAATTTCACCCGCATGTGTGAGAAAACGCGAAAAACGTTTGTATGAACATTTTTTGTTTGCCATCCGATCGGCCTCAATCGAATTTTCAAAGATCTTTGTTCAATTTCATTTGAGGGGTGTTTCAGCATTTTCGAAGAAAGCGTTTGTCTTTGGTGAAAAAGGGGCTTTAAAATTATTTTCATAGACTTTTGTGATCATTTATTTGATACGCTCTTGGTTGGCAAATGCGGGTAAACGGTTTTAGGAAAGTGTATTCATCAGCTTCATAATTCTCACCGCAAGTCTAACATCGGCGGAACCTGTTGATTTCAAAACTTGGTCCCGTATTCGATGCACTTAAAAGATATTTTTAAATAGAAGTGGAGATCAGGATGGTTAGATTGTAATTTTCCACGGGCATGTTCTTAATGGAAAGGTAATATCTAAAATTGTTAGCAAAATCGTTGCAACGGCAATGCCGGCCAATACCCGCTAGTATATATATATAATTGCTTAATAAGCCATAAACCAATTATAGAACTAGTTTGCTAATATACTAGTTTTTTTACTTAATCGAAGTTCGTAAACTTGTTTATAAATAATAGACGATCGTTTAAATAAACGCACAAACTGTTATTAAATATTTCGAAAATCTTCAAAAATGTATTGCTTTGAAAAGTAGGCAAGGCGCTTCGTTTCTCACGAAAAATGTCAAATATATTTTCTATTTCAAATTGAAACAAGTGAAAGGGGGGAGATACACTCCACTAGATGAAAGAGATACCCAATAAACATATCCTTATATGTCCTGTAAATTAGTAAGACACTCTTTCTGAATGGGGACAAGCATGTGATACTCTTCCGAAATGAATGTGAAAGTGTGTGCTACGGAGCGTTTTAGGCTGGCCACTAAGTAGATGACACAAGTTTGCAATAAGAGGACACTCAACTTAAATTTTCATTTATTTAAAGGAGCATCGCTCACAGGATTGTGCAGTACAATCTGGCTACTGATTTCGAAACGATCCTGGATACCCAGTACGGAAGGGTGCGCGGCCTTCAACGTAAGACTCTCTACGACGAAGAGCTCTACTTTGCCTTCGAGGGTATACCCTATGCCAAGCCGCCCTTAGGTGAGCTGCGTTTTCGGGCGCCCCAACCACCGGAGACGTGGACCCACATCATGGACTGTAGGCACCCACGTTCAAAGCCCATGCAGCGACATTTGGTATTGCATGTAGTCGAGGGTTCCGAGGATTGCCTTTACCTAAATGTGTACGCAAAAAAACTTAAGTCGGAAAAGCCCCTGCCCGTTATGGTCTGGATCTATGGGGGCAGTTTTCAGATTGGCGAGGCCACAAGGGATGTTCACAGTCCAGATTACTTTATGCAAAAGGAAGTTATTCTAGTCACACTTAACTACAGGCTGGGAGCCTTAGGTGAGTGTACGAACAGAAGAAAAGGAAAGAAAATTGCAACCGATTGTTACCCGTCAAAGTAATACATATATATAGGCTTGTCCGATTTGGTTCGATCCTTAGAAGAGCAGCGATCAGCAGTGTTCGCCCACCATCTCATTCTATCTTTAAACTATGGGTGATATAGAATTTCACGATCTATGGTGGCGGGGTGGTTGGGGAAGACATCAACTGCAATATTAGGGAACTCCAAGTCTGACGCGCTTATACACTTTACATATTCCATTTTTCCAGAGATGCTTGGCTCTATTTTATCGGGTACCAACACTTATTTTCTTATTTCAGGTTTCCTTAGCCTCTCCGATCCGGACTTGGATGTTCCTGGCAATGCTGGGCTCAAGGATCAGGTAATGGCCCTGCGCTGGATACACGAAAACATCGCTAACTTCAATGGCGATCCGAACAACATAACATTAATGGGCCTAAGTGCGGGTGCTGCTTCCATTCAGATAATGATGAGCACGGAACAGACACGTGGACTCTTTCACAAGGCCATCCTCATGTCAGGATCGTCGCTATGCGACTGGATCGATGAGACCCGCTACGCCCAGCCCTATCTGCTGGCCTGTAAGCTGGGCTACGATGGCGATGAAAATGACCAGGAAATATTTAGCTTTCTGCAGAGCATCCCAGCAAAGGACATCAGCGGCTGTAAAAGGTTGATCATGAAGGAGGAAAAACGCGATTATGTGCTGATTCCGTTTGGACCCGTCGTTGAGCCCTACGTGAGCGAAAGCTGTGTGATCTCCATGCCGCCTTGCAAGACTCTATCCCATGCCTGGGGCAATAAGCTACCCGTGATCATTGGAGGCACCTCCTTCGAGGGCTTGGTGTTCTACCAACATATAACCGGTGATATAGAATACATGCTGGGCGCCTTTGAAGCTTTAGTACCCAGAGCGGTGCGCTATTCATCTACGCCGGCGGAGATCCAGGCTCACGTAAGACGTCTGAAGGTCTCCTATTTCGAGGATGCCACGCTAGATCAAATGGAATTTAAGGACTGCCTACATCTTCTTTCTTGCAAGCACTTCTGGCATGCTATTCATCGAACTGTGCTTGCCCGGCTGGCCTATGCGCCAAACACGCCCACCTACCTCTATCGCTTTGATTTCGACTCACAAAGCTTCAATTACTCTCGCATCATGGTGTGTGGACGCAATGAGCGTGGTGTTTGCCATGGCGATGATTTCCTCTATTTGTTTTACTGCATACCATCCTACAAATTGGAGAAGACTTCGTGGGAATACCGCACCATTGAGCGGCTGATAGGTATGTGGACGGCATTCGCGGCACACAATGATCCTAACTGCGATATTGTCAATCCAACCATTTGGGAGACCCTCAAATCAAACGGTATTCCAATGTGCTTAAACATTGGCACAAATCTTGAGTTTATTGAACTGCCCGGGAGGAAAGAACTGCAATTGTGGGATACCTTCTATAAGAAATTGAGACTATACTAAAGTTCTGAAAGATTAAAGAGGATCATGATATCATGGTCCGTAAGGTCAAACGATAGGTCAAAAAGGTGTAAAGCCTTGTTACTCAATTGGAGAGTGTATAATTGCATTACAAGCAAAATAGTAGTTTCAGAGCTAGCTTAACGTATTCCACGCGATCATAAAACAGTACGACAATTACCCAGAAATTAAAAAAAGCAGATCCATGTTACAAGGCGAGTCAAACGAAGGATAGTTGACAAATTGACAGGAGAGCAGGAACGCAGAAAAACATTTTGTACATGATTTTCTAATAACTGAACGCTTACGGAGTCAGAAAAACAAAACTTCAGAAAACGATGGTAGCAAATTGAGATATTCTCATAAAATGGCGTATAAAAAAATCTCCTAATCAACTAATAAAGGTTTGAATAAAATAGATAAACAAAATAAAACTAATTGAGAAGATTTGCCTAGAAGAGTCTAAATAAATGTGTTAATAAAGTAATACTTAGGAGCATTCAATTTGAAACTCATTTGAATTCTTTTCTTTTTTAAAAATAGTAGTTAAAAAATGATTCTAATTCTAAAAACAAGTAAGAGGTTCTAGTCGGGAGCTCCCGACTAGGGGATACCCTGAACCCTCTTATTCTAACACCAAATAAATTAATAAAAAAAGTTCCCTTGGCAGCGCTCGAATTTGCAACTGACGCATTACTTACTGTCGACTCTACTCAAGAGCCACACCAGCAAAAAAAAAAAATAATAAATCTTTCCCCGGTAGGGCTCGAACTCGCGACAGACCGCACCACTTGCTATGCCTATACTCAGCAGCCACACCAGCAATTATGTACTTATGATAAAAAAAGAAACTAAAATAACATTACAAAATAAAAAGGCAATTACTATGCTATTAGAATGCGAAGCAGACGCGCATGAATGTGTGTGTGTACATGTATACAGAAATTCTTAAAGCTGCTGCCCCATTCAATTGCGCAGTTGCATATAACTTTGGTTTTTCTTAACCGATCTTTATGAACTTTTCTACAGTATATCTTATTGTACCATAGAATATTTGTGTATTCTGAAAAAATCAATTGCATTTAAATTGTGGCTTAAATTGGTTGGCAATAAAAGTTGGGTTATTAACTTGATTTATAGCTATGAGGTGGTAGCGGGGAGGTGGCGTAGGTATGAAATGAAAGATACTTGAAATATCTATAATATTCTAGAAGCAACATATCATGTTTGGTGGCTCTCGCTCTTATTATTTACCCAATTTTCTAAAATTTTTATCGATCGCTTGGAAACGGAGTAAGTTATCGATTATCGGAAACAAACTCGATCTGCGCGGGAACTAGGAGCATCTACATCTAAAATTTCAAGTCTCTAGGTCTTATAGGTTCTGAGATCCTTTGGCTCATACATACGGACGGACGGACGGACGGACAGACAGACGGACATGGCTAGATCGACTCGGCTATTGATGCTGATCAAGAATATATATACTTTTTGGATTCAGGGTATAAAACAAAAAAATAAAAATAATTTCAAACAGCTTTTATATGCCATAATACGATTTATTTACATGTGGCTACAACACTCTCAGGGCAAGAGTTGGAGCAAACCTAAAATAATTGCTCCTTTTTATATAGGCTATCCCAGACGAGCAGCTTCTCGTGCTCGGGCTGATCGATGATCTTCACCTCATTGTCAATGTTGAGCACACGCTGTGGCAGCTCCTGCTGCGCGGGCTGCCAGTTCAGATGCGCGGTTTCGGCGCAATTGGGATTGGAGGTGGCCGCAAAGGATGTCCAAATTTCCACCAGGCGCTGTATGGTGCGATATTCTCCCGATGCTTTGTCCAGTTTCCAGGACTGCGAGTTGCGGAACAAATAGCTCAGCTCATCCGCATGGGCAACGCCCTTCTTAATGTCATCGCCACAAAACTTCTTGCGATAGAAATTGAAATCTGGCGAATCAAAGTCGAAGCGATAGTAATAGGTGGGCGCCTTGGCATAGGCCAGACGGGCTTGCAAAGTGCGATGGAAGCCATGCCAAAAGATCTTATAGGAATAGTACTGAAAGAAGCAGAAATTTGTTTAACAGAATATGGAATATTGATTGCTTTAGTCGGGAGTGTCCGACTAAGACTAGGGGTCGGAGATGCCTCATGCTAACTATTACATACATTCTCAAAACACTATTATAACCTTTTCCCATTTTGAACAGGGTACAGGGTACAAGAAAGTGTTTCAAACTCACGTCCAAAAAATTCATGATGTGCTCTGAACTGGGTCTAGCATCACCAAAGTACAATTTTATCAGCTTGTTGCTGAACTCCAAATTCTGCTGTTTCGTATTGAGCAAAAGCACTTCGTAAGGAATTATACGCAACGGATCCTGCGGCAAGGTATCCAAGCCCTTGAGATTGGCTTTCAGAGCTGGATACATGAACAGGCCCTCGAAGGAGACACCGCCCATCATGACGGGCAGCTCATTGCTCCACGCCTCGCGTGCCATTTCCAGCTGCCGCTTGGGCGCCACGCAGTCCGGCATGATGTACGGCTCCACGGTGGGCCCAAAAGCATAGATGAGGCCATTGCGTCGATCCTCGGCGGTGAGCAGGCTGTGATTAACCAGCTGATGTGGCGCCACGCCCCGCAAATGTTCCAACACCAGGCGATCAATGTTTTCGCCCTCATAGCCATGCGCCTTAGCTAGCCGATAGGCGAAATCTGCGGGAGGCGTATTTGACCAGTAATTGTGCAGGGTGCCCGACATGGGTATGGCCTTGTGGAAGAGTCCACGCGTCTGCTCTGTGCACATCATATAGTGGGTGGAGCAGCCGCCGGCGCTCTCGCCAAATACCGTTATGTTGTTTACATCGCCATTGAAATGGGAAATATATTGCTTGACCCATTTGAGAGCTAGAACCTGATCCTTGAGTCCAGCATTACCAGGCACCTCTAAGCTGGGGTCTTTCAGACTGAGAAAACCTATGTGAATGAGATAAGGAAGAAAGCATATGTAACGTTAGCTTGAAAAAAACTAGAAAGGCTAAAAACGAATACAGAAACTAGAGGTGCAGATTTTCCGCAACGCACAGCCCACACCGTTAGAGCTGGGAAGCGGAAATTTTCACTGTAGTTGCCTTATGTGATAAACGTGAATGTTAGGGCGGGGTTTCGGGAAATTTCACCCGCATGTGTGAGAAAACGCGAAAAACGTTTGTATGAACATTTTTTGTTTGCCATCCGATCGGCCTCAATCGAATTTTCAAAGATCTTTGTTCAATTTCATTTGAGGGGTGTTTCAGCATTTTCGAAGAAAGCGTTTGTCTTTGGTGAAAAAGGGGCTTTAAAATTATTTTCATAGACTTTTGTGATCATTTATTTGATACGCTCTTGGTTGGCAAATGCGGGTAAACGGTTTTAGGAAAGTGTATTCATCAGCTTCATAATTCTCACCGCAAGTCTAACATCGGCGGAACCTGTTGATTTCAAAACTTGGTCCCGTATTCGATGCACTTAAAAGATATTTTTAAATAGAAGTGGAGATCAGGATGGTTAGATTGTAATTTTCCACGGGCATGTTCTTAATGGAAAGGTAATATCTAAAATTGTTAGCAAAATCGTTGCAACGGCAATGCCGGCCAATACCCGCTAGTATATATATATAATTGCTTAATAAGCCATAAACCAATTATAGAACTAGTTTGCTAATATACTAGTTTTTTTACTTAATCGAAGTTCGTAAACTTGTTTATAAATAATAGACGATCGTTTAAATAAACGCACAAACTGTTATTAAATATTTCGAAAATCTTCAAAAATGTATTGCTTTGAAAAGTAGGCAAGGCGCTTCGTTTCTCACGAAAAATGTCAAATATATTTTCTATTTCAAATTGAAACAAGTGAAAGGGGGGAGATACACTCCACTAGATGAAAGAGATACCCAATAAACATATCCTTATATGTCCTGTAAATTAGTAAGACACTCTTTCTGAATGGGGACAAGCATGTGATACTCTTCCGAAATGAATGTGAAAGTGTGTGCTACGGAGCGTTTTAGGCTGGCCACTAAGTAGATGACACAAGTTTGCAATAAGAGGACACTCAACTTAAATTTTCATTTATTTAAAGGAGCATCGCTCACAGGATTGTGCAGTACAATCTGGCTACTGATTTCGAAACGATCCTGGATACCCAGTACGGAAGGGTGCGCGGCCTTCAACGTAAGACTCTCTACGACGAAGAGCTCTACTTTGCCTTCGAGGGTATACCCTATGCCAAGCCGCCCTTAGGTGAGCTGCGTTTTCGGGCGCCCCAACCACCGGAGACGTGGACCCACATCATGGACTGTAGGCACCCACGTTCAAAGCCCATGCAGCGACATTTGGTATTGCATGTAGTCGAGGGTTCCGAGGATTGCCTTTACCTAAATGTGTACGCAAAAAAACTTAAGTCGGAAAAGCCCCTGCCCGTTATGGTCTGGATCTATGGGGGCAGTTTTCAGATTGGCGAGGCCACAAGGGATGTTCACAGTCCAGATTACTTTATGCAAAAGGAAGTTATTCTAGTCACACTTAACTACAGGCTGGGAGCCTTAGGTGAGTGTACGAACAGAAGAAAAGGAAAGAAAATTGCAACCGATTGTTACCCGTCAAAGTAATACATATATATAGGCTTGTCCGATTTGGTTCGATCCTTAGAAGAGCAGCGATCAGCAGTGTTCGCCCACCATCTCATTCTATCTTTAAACTATGGGTGATATAGAATTTCACGATCTATGGTGGCGGGGTGGTTGGGGAAGACATCAACTGCAATATTAGGGAACTCCAAGTCTGACGCGCTTATACACTTTACATATTCCATTTTTCCAGAGATGCTTGGCTCTATTTTATCGGGTACCAACACTTATTTTCTTATTTCAGGTTTCCTTAGCCTCTCCGATCCGGACTTGGATGTTCCTGGCAATGCTGGGCTCAAGGATCAGGTAATGGCCCTGCGCTGGATACACGAAAACATCGCTAACTTCAATGGCGATCCGAACAACATAACATTAATGGGCCTAAGTGCGGGTGCTGCTTCCATTCAGATAATGATGAGCACGGAACAGACACGTGGACTCTTTCACAAGGCCATCCTCATGTCAGGATCGTCGCTATGCGACTGGATCGATGAGACCCGCTACGCCCAGCCCTATCTGCTGGCCTGTAAGCTGGGCTACGATGGCGATGAAAATGACCAGGAAATATTTAGCTTTCTGCAGAGCATCCCAGCAAAGGACATCAGCGGCTGTAAAAGGTTGATCATGAAGGAGGAAAAACGCGATTATGTGCTGATTCCGTTTGGACCCGTCGTTGAGCCCTACGTGAGCGAAAGCTGTGTGATCTCCATGCCGCCTTGCAAGACTCTATCCCATGCCTGGGGCAATAAGCTACCCGTGATCATTGGAGGCACCTCCTTCGAGGGCTTGGTGTTCTACCAACATATAACCGGTGATATAGAATACATGCTGGGCGCCTTTGAAGCTTTAGTACCCAGAGCGGTGCGCTATTCATCTACGCCGGCGGAGATCCAGGCTCACGTAAGACGTCTGAAGGTCTCCTATTTCGAGGATGCCACGCTAGATCAAATGGAATTTAAGGACTGCCTACATCTTCTTTCTTGCAAGCACTTCTGGCATGCTATTCATCGAACTGTGCTTGCCCGGCTGGCCTATGCGCCAAACACGCCCACCTACCTCTATCGCTTTGATTTCGACTCACAAAGCTTCAATTACTCTCGCATCATGGTGTGTGGACGCAATGAGCGTGGTGTTTGCCATGGCGATGATTTCCTCTATTTGTTTTACTGCATACCATCCTACAAATTGGAGAAGACTTCGTGGGAATACCGCACCATTGAGCGGCTGATAGGTATGTGGACGGCATTCGCGGCACACAATGATCCTAACTGCGATATTGTCAATCCAACCATTTGGGAGACCCTCAAATCAAACGGTATTCCAATGTGCTTAAACATTGGCACAAATCTTGAGTTTATTGAACTGCCCGGGAGGAAAGAACTGCAATTGTGGGATACCTTCTATAAGAAATTGAGACTATACTAAAGTTCTGAAAGATTAAAGAGGATCATGATATCATGGTCCGTAAGGTCAAACGATAGGTCAAAAAGGTGTAAAGCCTTGTTACTCAATTGGAGAGTGTATAATTGCATTACAAGCAAAATAGTAGTTTCAGAGCTAGCTTAACGTATTCCACGCGATCATAAAACAGTACGACAATTACCCAGAAATTAAAAAAAGCAGATCCATGTTACAAGGCGAGTCAAACGAAGGATAGTTGACAAATTGACAGGAGAGCAGGAACGCAGAAAAACATTTTGTACATGATTTTCTAATAACTGAACGCTTACGGAGTCAGAAAAACAAAACTTCAGAAAACGATGGTAGCAAATTGAGATATTCTCATAAAATGGCGTATAAAAAAATCTCCTAATCAACTAATAAAGGTTTGAATAAAATAGATAAACAAAATAAAACTAATTGAGAAGATTTGCCTAGAAGAGTCTAAATAAATGTGTTAATAAAGTAATACTTAGGAGCATTCAATTTGAAACTCATTTGAATTCTTTTCTTTTTTAAAAATAGTAGTTAAAAAATGATTCTAATTCTAAAAACAAGTAAGAGGTTCTAGTCGGGAGCTCCCGACTAGGGGATACCCTGAACCCTCTTATTCTAACACCAAATAAATTAATAAAAAAAGTTCCCTTGGCAGCGCTCGAATTTGCAACTGACGCATTACTTACTGTCGACTCTACTCAAGAGCCACACCAGCAAAAAAAAAAAATAATAAATCTTTCCCCGGTAGGGCTCGAACTCGCGACAGACCGCACCACTTGCTATGCCTATACTCAGCAGCCACACCAGCAATTATGTACTTATGATAAAAAAAGAAACTAAAATAACATTACAAAATAAAAAGGCAATTACTATGCTATTAGAATGCGAAGCAGACGCGCATGAATGTGTGTGTGTACATGTATACAGAAATTCTTAAAGCTGCTGCCCCATTCAATTGCGCAGTTGCATATAACTTTGGTTTTTCTTAACCGATCTTTATGAACTTTTCTACAGTATATCTTATTGTACCATAGAATATTTGTGTATTCTGAAAAAATCAATTGCATTTAAATTGTGGCTTAAATTGGTTGGCAATAAAAGTTGGGTTATTAACTTGATTTATAGCTATGAGGTGGTAGCGGGGAGGTGGCGTAGGTATGAAATGAAAGATACTTGAAATATCTATAATATTCTAGAAGCAACATATCATGTTTGGTGGCTCTCGCTCTTATTATTTACCCAATTTTCTAAAATTTTTATCGATCGCTTGGAAACGGAGTAAGTTATCGATTATCGGAAACAAACTCGATCTGCGCGGGAACTAGGAGCATCTACATCTAAAATTTCAAGTCTCTAGGTCTTATAGGTTCTGAGATCCTTTGGCTCATACATACGGACGGACGGACGGACGGACAGACAGACGGACATGGCTAGATCGACTCGGCTATTGATGCTGATCAAGAATATATATACTTTTTGGATTCAGGGTATAAAACAAAAAAATAAAAATAATTTCAAACAGCTTTTATATGCCATAATACGATTTATTTACATGTGGCTACAACACTCTCAGGGCAAGAGTTGGAGCAAACCTAAAATAATTGCTCCTTTTTATATAGGCTATCCCAGACGAGCAGCTTCTCGTGCTCGGGCTGATCGATGATCTTCACCTCATTGTCAATGTTGAGCACACGCTGTGGCAGCTCCTGCTGCGCGGGCTGCCAGTTCAGATGCGCGGTTTCGGCGCAATTGGGATTGGAGGTGGCCGCAAAGGATGTCCAAATTTCCACCAGGCGCTGTATGGTGCGATATTCTCCCGATGCTTTGTCCAGTTTCCAGGACTGCGAGTTGCGGAACAAATAGCTCAGCTCATCCGCATGGGCAACGCCCTTCTTAATGTCATCGCCACAAAACTTCTTGCGATAGAAATTGAAATCTGGCGAATCAAAGTCGAAGCGATAGTAATAGGTGGGCGCCTTGGCATAGGCCAGACGGGCTTGCAAAGTGCGATGGAAGCCATGCCAAAAGATCTTATAGGAATAGTACTGAAAGAAGCAGAAATTTGTTTAACAGAATATGGAATATTGATTGCTTTAGTCGGGAGTGTCCGACTAAGACTAGGGGTCGGAGATGCCTCATGCTAACTATTACATACATTCTCAAAACACTATTATAACCTTTTCCCATTTTGAACAGGGTACAGGGTACAAGAAAGTGTTTCAAACTCACGTCCAAAAAATTCATGATGTGCTCTGAACTGGGTCTAGCATCACCAAAGTACAATTTTATCAGCTTGTTGCTGAACTCCAAATTCTGCTGTTTCGTATTGAGCAAAAGCACTTCGTAAGGAATTATACGCAACGGATCCTGCGGCAAGGTATCCAAGCCCTTGAGATTGGCTTTCAGAGCTGGATACATGAACAGGCCCTCGAAGGAGACACCGCCCATCATGACGGGCAGCTCATTGCTCCACGCCTCGCGTGCCATTTCCAGCTGCCGCTTGGGCGCCACGCAGTCCGGCATGATGTACGGCTCCACGGTGGGCCCAAAAGCATAGATGAGGCCATTGCGTCGATCCTCGGCGGTGAGCAGGCTGTGATTAACCAGCTGATGTGGCGCCACGCCCCGCAAATGTTCCAACACCAGGCGATCAATGTTTTCGCCCTCATAGCCATGCGCCTTAGCTAGCCGATAGGCGAAATCTGCGGGAGGCGTATTTGACCAGTAATTGTGCAGGGTGCCCGACATGGGTATGGCCTTGTGGAAGAGTCCACGCGTCTGCTCTGTGCACATCATATAGTGGGTGGAGCAGCCGCCGGCGCTCTCGCCAAATACCGTTATGTTGTTTACATCGCCATTGAAATGGGAAATATATTGCTTGACCCATTTGAGAGCTAGAACCTGATCCTTGAGTCCAGCATTACCAGGCACCTCTAAGCTGGGGTCTTTCAGACTGAGAAAACCTATGTGAATGAGATAAGGAAGAAAGCATATGTAACGTTAGCTTGAAAAAAACTAGAAAGGCTAAAAACGAATACAGAAACTAGAGGTGCAGATTTTCCTCATAAAGGAAAAACTACTAAAAACTTGGAATGAATTTAAATTTCACTTTCTTTTACACTCAATAAAAGGTATAGAATTGGTGCACTTTAAATCTAAGCGAAAATATCTCATTTACAGCTCGTACTTTATACCCTTTGGAAGCTATCAGCGATAAGAGAAACTTGTTCAATAACAAAACAATCTAATTTTGGAGATTGTCATTACGATTAGATATTTAATTCTTACCCAGACAATCAACGCGATAGTTGAGCGTTACTAGAACGACATCTTTAGCCATAAAATAATCCGGCGCATACAGCTCCCGGGTGGCCTCGCCTATGGAAAATGCACCACCGTATATATAAACCATAACAGGCAGGGGTTTTGCCGTCTTAAGCTGTTATCAGTGGAACATGGGCAATTATAGCTATCCATCACAGGTTATATTCTATTTTCAGATAGTCACCTGCTTGGCGTACACATTCAGGTAGAGACAATCCTCGCTGCCCTCGATGACACCAGTTAACATGGCCTTCTGCACAGGCTTCTCGGCAAAGTGGGTGCAATCCAGTACACCGGACCAGGGTTTTGCCGGCAATGGCGCCTTGAAGCGCAGCTCGCCCAGCGGCGGTTGGGCAAAAGGCAAACACTCGAAGCTGAAGTAATCGTCATCGTAGAGAGTGCGACGTTTAACGCCCCTTATCTGGCCCACGGGCAGTTCAATCTCACAAGTCTCCAGGCTAAAATAACGATTATAAAATTTGTTAATTATGTGTATGATATTAAAAAAATGTATTTAATTATATATATGACTTTTAGACACCTCTCTGACATGATGCTAAACAATCGCTCGGTCGTCCGCTCTGCTCGCGTGCCGCTTGTCAACTGAACATCGAGTAAATCAAAAGAACGTCGCAAAGCTAAAGAGTGTACACAGATGGCCATAAAAACATGTACACCAACCGTGGTGGCTGGTGGAACTGATTTATCGCGCATTTGTTGGGTTTTTTGAGTTGTATATTTAAAGAAAAAACAGCCAGGCAGAATTCTTAATACTCTTATATGGAACCAGTGAAACTTGGCGAATAGCTTATATTATTCGATATACAGTAGTGGACAAAGAATATGATCCGTCATATCAAATATTAGTTTAACCGCGAAAAGAAATATTTCATAAGTGTACCAAATGTTAGTTTAAAATTTTAGTGTTATATATACATATACCGCAACAAAACCAGCCATGGTTTATATTTATATTATTATGCTATTTACAGAAGTGGACAAAAAGATAGGATACGGTGTTAATTTTAACGGCATCATGTAATTCTGAATATGTATTAACAGTAATTAATAGTTTAAAGTAAAATAGCACACATAATGTTAGCAGATGGAATTCGACACAACAAGTATGTTTACTTACTCTTTATTATTTTAATACCCTGAGCCCATTAAAAATAGATAAAAAGGGTATAATGTATTTGTGTATTTATGTATGTAACAGGCAGAAGGAAGCATCTCCGACCCCATAATGTATATAAATTCTTGATCAGCATTAACAGCCGAGTCGATCTAGCCGTGTCCGTCTGTCCGTATGTATGAACGCAAGGATCTCAGAGCCTATACGAGCTAGAGACTTGATATATTATCTGTAGGTCCTTCTAGCTAATGCGCAGTACGAGTTTCCGGAAACCGATAACTTCGTTTCCAAGCAATCGATAAAAATCGATAAATCGATATCGAAATCCTGCTTTTTGAACAAAATGGGTAAACAGTCACCAAAATTGATATGTTGCTTCTAGAATAGTAGAAATATATCAAGTATCTTTCATTTTAAACCTATCGCCACCTCCCTGCTACTACATCATAGCTATAAATCAAATATTAAAACCAAATTTTAAAAGCAATTGAGTTTTTGAGAATACACAAATATTATATATGATGATGTACTGTATGAGATACAAAAGTTATGTGTTTTGGCTACCCACGTGAATGCGGCAGCTAAGGAAAATTTCAATATATGTACACACACATTCATGCGCGTCTGCTTTTAAGTCTATCAACAGCATTGCAATTGAGATTGTTTTATTTTTTGTGCTGCTATTTTAATCCTTTTTTTTTTATTGAAGCAAACGAGCGCATAGCGCGATCTGAATTTTGTGTTGGTAGAAGAGGGTTCAGCGTATTTCCTAGCCGGGAGCTCCAGACTAGAGCCCCCTACTTGTTTTTATTATACATTATCTAAAATTACATAAGCTGGTTCCTTATCGTAACTTATCAGAGCTCACAGATTCACAGTTAAATGAGTTCCATTTTAGCATTTCTGTACAATTGTTCGTAAAACATTAACTTCAAACGCTCCGGCTGTGCAATGAACTTGAGTTCCTCATTGATATTCAGACACATTGTGGGTTCATTCTGTGAGACCGGCTGCCAGTCGACCAATGACTGGATGAGTGGCGCATTCGGATTGGATCTGCGGGCGAATTCTGTAAACATGGCAATCATGCGACACAGGGTTATGTATTCCGCTCTTGATTTGTCCAGCTTGAAGGTGCCGGGCAACTTAAATATATAGCACAACTCATCGGCATGATGAAGGCCACGCCTTTCGGGTCCCCAATAGCGTATGCGATATAGATTGAAATCAGGTGAATCAAAGTCGAAGCGATACAGGTAATTCTCGGCCTGGCTATAGGCCAGCCGGGCGCTAATCAGACGCTGCTGATAGTGCAACAGGTTGAGCGCGAAGATCTCAGATATGCCTGAGGCATGCGATACGTTCAGATCCGAACTGTGCACGCCACAAAACTTCTTCACCAGCGTCTGTCCCAGGTGGCGACACGCGCTGGGCTCGCAGCGCCGGAGTATGGAATACGGCAGCATGAACTCCGGACGCTCCTGGCAAGCTTTCAGCACTGCTGCATCCTTTGTCATATCGCATGTACTACTAAACAAATCCTCGTTGCTGGTGCTGCCAATGATGATCGGCAGGCGATTGCTCCATGCGCTGCGCTGCAATATCCGCGGCTCATCCAACAGCACAGCACCCTGTGTGGCATAGGGCTCCACTCGGGGCATAAAAAGAGGTAACCCAGAGCTTTGCAGGCGTTCATATAGCTGTCGAAAGTCCGTCTTGGCCAAAAGTTTGGGATCTGCAGCATTTAGATAGTGCCATACTTGGACATCGTTGTTGGCGCCCTCATAGCCCAAATGCTTGGCCAGCTCGTACTCCACGTTGGGCCGATTGCATGTATCCGGATGGAAACCAGCCAAAAGTATCGCCTTGTCGAAGAGTCCTTCCGCCAGCGGGCTCACCATCAGCAGGTGCACCAGACAGCTGCCCGAACTGTGGCCGAATAGCGTAATGTTATTCGCATCGCCATTGAAGCTGCGCACATTGGCCCTTATCCACTTAAGGGCCAGCACAATATCCTTTATGCCCGCGTTGCCGGGTATGCCCAGCGACGGATCCGAAAAGCTCATGAAACCTGCGCACGTTCACATAGCATTAGCTTTAGCTTCGATTTCTTTTCGGATACCCACCAAATGGACCCAATCGATAGCCAATGCTGATGTAGATCACCTGCTCGCGCATGAAATAATCAGGTGAAAAGAAGCGCCTTGTCGGATCCCCACTCTTAAAGGCACCGCCATGCACATAAACCATCACTGGCAACGGCTTTTTGCTGGTTAGCTAAAATAAATATATTCTAATAATCTCAATCCGTGCATGTGTAATTTGATGAAAACTCACGCTTTTCACGGCTATATTTAGATACAGGCAGTCCTCGCTACCCTCAACCTGCTTTGTTAAGCTGGCCACTTGCAGGCACTTGTCCCTCGGCTCGGTACAGTCGCGTACGCCCAGCCAAGACTCCGCATTCTGCGGAGCTCTAAAGCGCAGCTCACCCAATGGCGGCTGGGCGTAGGGAATGCCATCGAAGCTATAGTAGAGCTCATCAAAGAGACTGGTGAGTAACGCGCCACGCACCTCACCATGCGTGGTAAGCACCACAGGCGAAGTATCCGAGCTGCAAATGATTTCACTCTGTTAATCTTGGAGTTTGGCTTTTATCCGACCGCTACCTACTAGTCCGTTGCCATTTAAGGTTTGTCGCAAATTAACTGAAAGTAAAAAACCCTCCACTTATATAGACGCATACGCTTTTCTGAAATTATCTAATGTGGTAAAATTCCAAACTGCGAGCCAGTGCTGCCAATTTTTCTAGCTACATGTGGCTAATTGCACAGTTCGTTAACCGGAAAATATTAATTTTGAACCGATTTGGTTTTAATTTGGCAGATTAGAACCAAGTACGGGCAACTCTCGTTTCCAATTAGTGGCTAGAATGCTAATTCAGCTTCTTGTAGCTATTTTTAAAATTGGCTTTAGCTACTTTTTGCTGTGGTGAAATGATCGTTCTGGTGAGAACTAATCTGTCTAGCGTTGTGGTGCGAACTTTAATGCCAATTTTGGCATTGGTAAAGCGATTGTTGTCGTGAATTTAGATAATCTAACATTTTATTATAGTAAAATAAAAGTTAAAGATAAGTTTATCTTTTGATGTTTCTTAGGAGTACCAGCACTATAAGCCAAAATAATAAACAGAGAATACAAAAAGATAAGACATAACATTTTATAGAACTATATAACGCTCATAATTATTGCGTTAGCCGCAAACCACAAAATATTTATGTTAGATTAACATACTGCCAAAATGAATTATACTAAGTGGATTTTATAAATCAAGTTTACCCAATCCGTAACTTGGTTTAATACATGAATTATGTTAACAGAATTTCCTTTCATATAAGCACACTAACAGCTCACTGTTAACATTTGCTATGCTAATATACCAAACATACAGCTTTAAAAAAACATTTGGATACACTGTTAATTTAATGGCTTTGTCATTTTAGAATTTCGTTTATATTAAGGCAGAGTTATCTCACTCGCGCCTTATAGACGCTATCCCAAACCCGCAACTTGGTCAGCTCTGGCAATTCGATCACCCTCATGGCCTCCGAAATGTTTAGGCACTTCATATTCTTTTTACTTAATGGCTCCCAAGCCGTTCCCTTGGCCAAGTTGGATTCAACACTCCCGCAATTTGGATCTGAAGTGCTAGCAAATGTGGTCAGTATGTCAATCATGCGCTCAATGGTTTGAAACTCGGCCGTGTGCTTGTCCAGCTTCCAGGAGAAATCGCCATACCAAATATACGAATGATCATCCACATGGGCAACGCCACGCAGCTTATCGCCGCAATATTTTAAACGTTGATGATTGAACGTGGATGAATCAAAATCGAAGCGATATAGATAGGTGGGCTCTGTGGAGCATTGTAGGCGTGCCTTGATGGTGCGCAATATGGGATGCCAGAAGACCTTATAACTGGCGTACTGCAAGAATGGAAAATGAATATTCGTTTATACATACAATTTAAGATAAAAGAACAATATACGCCCACCTCACAATAGGCCGCCACGCTGTCTGGATTCAGCTCCAGTGGCTTATCCCGGAAGTGCATATATTGTATACGCTTGCCCAGCGTACGGGCCAAGGCCTGCGGCAGCGTGCGTTTCAATTCCAGCGGCAGCAGATGCTCCGGCTGGCTCTTGAGGCTGGTGAGCAAATAGGGCGACATATGCACACGTCCATACATTAGCAGACCCTCAAAGGAGGTGCCACTCATCAAGAGCGGAATATTATTGCCCCATGCATTAGCGAGCAGCTCAATGGGCTGCTTGGATATCGCACAGGACTCGGTGGCATATGGCTCCACGACGGGGCCAAACTGAAAGACACTGTCATCCAAGTTTTCTGCTTCGCTGAGCAGATAAGGCTTCACAAGCTGATCGCCAGGCACGCTCTGTAGAAACTCCAAAATCTTGAGATCCGAGGCCATCTCCAACTTCTGCATGCCCAGATTTTCAGCGAGTCGCCGCGCCAAATTGGGCACCGCACATTGCGCCCAGGAGCACAAAGCATTTCCAGACTGCATAATGGCTTTCTGAAAGAGGCCCTGGGCATGCGGATTCACCATAAGATAATGCACTGAAGCGGCGCCAGCACTTTCACCAAATGCAGTTACATTCGTTGGATCCGCATTAAAACTGGATGCATTCTTTGTGATCCATTTTAAAGCCATCAGTTGATCCTTTAAGCCGGCATTGCCGGGCACTCCCGCCGCAGGATCCTTCAGGCTGAGAAAGCCCAGTGGGCCCACACGATACGAAACGGTGGCCACGACCACATCGCGCATCATAAAATAGTCGGGACTGTGTAAATCTCTGGTGGGATCACCCTTTTCAAAGCCACCGCCAAAGAAAAAAACAATCAGCGGCAACGGCGTCTCCGTGTGCAGCTAAAGCGAGGCACAGTTTACCAATTAAGGTTTTTACTTTTACTACAATTGGGGTGCGTGACTCACCGACTTGGCATACACATTCAGATACAGGCAATTCTCAACGCCCTCCAGCTGCTGGGTGTACTGATTGAACTGCAGCGGCTTCTCGCCCTTCTGCCGGCAGTTCAGCGCCTGTTTCCAGGGATGTATAGGCTGTGGCGCCTTGAAGCGCAAGGAGCCCAGGGGCGGACGCGCGTAGGGTATGCGCTCGAAGCTGACGTAATCATCGCTGTATATGCTTGTACAATGTTTTCCCACAACCGGCCCACTTTTCGTCTGCACAACGGCGTCGGAAACGCTGCAAAATGATATAATCAAATTATCGTACGATCGTAATATATCCGACAACTCACCTCGCCATTTTCAGCTGTGGTCTGAGCGGCTTTTACACGTTGGCGCGATGTTCTCCTAGGTTTTTTATTGGCGCTTTTTTGTTTTTTTATCTAGATAAAAACATTTATAGAGGTTGTTTTTGTCGCTAGCGCACAAGACACCACACAAATATAAGCTGAACAACAAGTGCAAGGCCAAAAAATCAAATATCAAATTTTTAATATCAGAGACAGCTGATTTTGTGTTAGCTGCTTTGTTTTCGGTAAGGGCTAATATTTATAAATGCTTCGTTTGCTGACATCGTAACGGTTGTGGCTGCTTTCTATCAGCAATGCACGCGAAGCTTTACGGCTGCCGGTGACGAAGGCGGCGCTGAATGCGACTGCGAAGGTTTATTTATTTATTTTTTCCAGGGCTGCACCAACACTTTTTAGCACCATTCTAATGTTAAAATCAGAATTACTTATGCCGATATTATATTTAATGTTATGCCCATAATAAACTATAACTTTAAATAAGCGTACTTTCCTAATAATGTTTTTAATATTTTTAATATTGAACTTAAAGCATTTACGCAGTTACATTTTGTATGCTGCTGCAGCCCTGGCAAACCAAATTGCTGATTCAAGTGCACTTGAATGTTGGGGCTACACTGAAAGATAGGCGGAATGAATGATAAGTTGGAACAACAAATAAAACACTGTTTAATCACTCACTTATTATTATTATTATTATTATTATTATTATTATTATTGTATTTATTTGTTTCATCCGTAGCGTCTAGCCTTTGTTTTGCTTAAGATAAACTGAATTTATAATTAGCGTGTTTTATGTGTACATTTAAATTATTAAATGCAATCCAGACATATGATAGTCATAGTTTTTGGCGAAGTATTTGTAAATGTAAATTATTTTTACCTAGAATATGGTGAAGTGCAAAAATTACTTCACATGTCAATGTGCTCGCATATTAGAATACCTAACATCATGGGGTTGCTGCTTTATGTGGAATGCATATGAACTGATATATATGTATGTAAATATATATATATATATTTATATAATATTTATATTATATATATATATATATATATAACCATTAATAATAAATAAACAATAAATAGCATAATAATTTGTCTTAACCCCTTACATACAAACTTCCACGTGTCATTCCAGCATAATTTTTTAAACAAAACAAAGCACACTTGACACTATATATACAATAACAGCTGTTAAGCCTGGCGAGCACTGCTAATGTAAAGATAAGTCGCCAATGTTAATGTCGTGTTACGCCAATCTATTTTTATTACGCCGATGTCAAAAATTTCTATTGAGAGAGAGAGAGAGAGATAAGTTTTGGCTAGCCGTTCAGAGTACCTTGCACGCAGATATATATGTTTATACATGGCGTACATAAATATAGACATGTGTGTAATATAAATACATACATCGCCGGGACTGTTTAAATTTGCCGGCAACGTAACAAAATTCTGTTAATTGCACTGCGACGGTCAACAGGATTGGAGCAAGCAGAGCAAACAAACAGTTGATTTCAAAATAAAAAAAAAAACTGTTCGAACAATCCTAATTGATATATTACATACATATGTACTTATGTGCATGCATACATAGATACGCACATATATATACATACATAATAGGTCAATAAACATGGAGGTGCACGTTGGTATTCCAAAATTGCTGCAAATGGGCGCCAAGTGAGTATATTTACGGAGTATACAGGGTATCAGTGTAGCGGTGAACATTGGGGACAATTGGTCTCGTTATTTGAAGTCACCGTGACTGGCGCATTCTCCATGACATTGATCTTGAACATTGGACCTGGACCACAGCGGCGCGGCAATTTTTGAATGGCATCGCGCCGACTCTGTTATCTTTATATATGTAGATCAGTATCTGTTATCTACATCACCTCTAACGCTCTGCCACCCACAGACTTGTCGGTCACAAGGTGCAGCAATACCGTCTGGCCACCAGTCACACAGTCATCGTGACAACCAAATTTGGTCGAGTGCGCGGCCTACAGCGCAAGACCATCTACGATGAGGAGCTGTATTATGCCTTTGAGGGCATACCCTATGCCAAGCCGCCGTTGGGTGAGCTGCGATTCCGTGCACCGCAACTGCCGGAGCCGTGGGAGGGTGTACGCAATTGCACCACATACGGCGAGAAGCCGCTGCAGCGTAACATGGTGCTAGGCTTGATTGAGGGCTCCGAGGATTGCCTATATCTGAATGTATATGTAAAGCAGATGCAGTCGGAGAAGCCGCTGCCCGTCATGGTGTGGATCTATGGCGGTGGTTTCCAGAAAGGTGAAGCCTCTAGAGATATCTACAGTCCGGATTACTTTATGAA